TGAACGCCCCTGGTGCCTGTGCTATACACCAGTGCTTTGCAGGGCTAGTTTTGTTTTGTTTTGTTTTAATTTTTATTTTAAAGAGAAAAAATTTTAAAACAAAGGCAAAACAAACAACAAAAACAATAAAAATGATACAGAATTTCAAAACAAGGTGATAGGAAATTAACAGTGGTTGTTATATTACATATTGTTATCTTCAAAGTAGTTGCTCAGACATAAGTACGCAAGATTCATCAAACAATTAAGCATTAACTGTTCTTTTCAATAAACCAATAGAAATTAGTAGTACAGTTACCTTAGCTATCGTGTGTGTGTGTGTGTGTGTGTGTAATTTCCCTTCTTTCTTTTCTCCTTTCCCCCATCACAGGGCTAGTTTTTAAACTGGATGGGAAACTTCAGTTTTAAAATTTTACAAAATGTCGTAGATCAATAATTATTATTAACTATAACAAAAATGAATTAGTAGGAAAATTGTTCAAAAATATGCAAAATACTATCCTAACCCTTTTTATCATTATATTCAGCAGACTTGGGATTACTGTCCCATTGCTGTAAATGCTTTCAACATGTCTGTTGATTTTTGTGCAAATCCTATTATACCACTTTATCCCCTCTCATTTGTCAGCTCACACAGGATAGCATCAGCTTCTGGGAGAAATGAGTTAGGGGAGTGGAGAGTAAAGAGAAGTGGTCTCTTAGGCCTTGCCAGATAATAGGCCATACAGCAGGAAAGCCAGGTGGATGCTGAGAGTAAACCCAAGATAAAGCATGGTGCTATTTCACCAAGTGAGGCTAAGGTGGACGTGTTGTTCTACCCCGCCTCCCATAAGTGATGAAGAGATGCTGTCTTCAGGGTTTTCAGGGCAAACCATGGACCCTGAGTTCCTAACAGTGCCAATGTCACCCTCAAGGCAGCAAAAGCTGATGGGGAAAGGGAGGGTTTCTTACTCTTATTATGTAAAGCACCTATATGTATTTAGTACATCAACAGGTTGTGGCATTAACATTTCGTGAAGGTGGTAATTAGAAAAAAAAAGGTCTAAAAGTCTCTGGGGAAGGGGATGCACAGTAATGAAAAACAAGTTGAGGGACACTAAGGTGCTAAAAATCTCCCACATGCAGGGCTTTTGTAGATGATCAGTGTTTTGCTGGCTGCCCTGGGAATCTATCCAAACCACTATGTATAAGTGGTTTTTCTAAGGAGACTACCTGCTGAGTTCCACATTTCTGATACACAAATGAACCTTTAAAATGAGTTCAGCCAGTAAGGGAACAAAAATCTGTAAAAGTGCAACTCTTCCTGTCATATGGGAAGCTTAGAGCACAAATATTTGTAGAGCACTTTATTTAACGCACGGAGGATCCAGAGAAGAATAAGCTTCAGGCCCTGGAGCAATATGGAACCATATGCCAGGAGACGATGTTTTATCATCTTTCTCTCCTTTGCCCCTCTGCTGGCAAGGTAAAGAGGGTCACTGAATTTCAGAGTGGCGTTAAGCTTGAATTTGCCCAGTCAACATTGTTGAGCACCCCCTAAATTCTAAACGATGTGGTAAGGTCTAGAGAGTGTGCTGTACAATATGATAGTTGTTAGCTACATATGGCTATTTAAATTGACATTAATTAAAATTAAACAAATTAGTTCTTCAGTCATACTAACCACCTCTTAAGTGCCCTCTAGCTTTATGTAGCTTGTGGATATTTCAAAGGACAACCCAAATATAAAACATGTCTGCATCACAGGAAGTTCTGTTGGGCAGCACCAGTGTAGAATTTTGTAGCACATAGAAGATGCTGATATGGCATAGTGGTAAAGAATATGATCCGTGTGGTCAAAGCTATGTTGTGATCCTAGATCAGTCACTTACTCCCACCCCCAGCTTTATGATTATGGCATATATGTAGCCCTTCTGAGCTATAGCTTTCTCCTCTGTAAAATAGGCAGGATAATGCCTACCTCACAGGGTTCTAATGAGAATTAAAAGAGTTGACTGGTTAACATGCAGTCGTTGCTCAAAATAGCATCTGTTGCAATCAGCAGCAGCAGCAGCAGCAGCAACGTTATCATCATCATCCACAGGTAGGGCATTTCGACCATCCATATAGATGTGTTATAGCCGCCAAGTTATGTAATGTTCCTATGACAGAGGGCTTCAAATATTAAGCCATGTTTCCTGGCTGTGCTGTCTCCCTCTAAAGTGGTCACCAAGCTTATCCCCTCCAATGCATTATAAATCATCCAAGAGCTTGGCAGCTTCTCTGCCCACATCGCTGACGACTAGAGAGGTAGAGAGGAAACTATAGAGTGAGGGAAGTATGATTGCTTCTTTGAGTAAATGTCTGATACACCCAGGAAAACTGGAGGAGTGAGGCAGATGAAAGGAATGGGAAATCAAGTTCTTCTCGCAAGTGACAATAAGATAGTTGCTGTGCTCCAACTGAGAGGAGCTGGCCAGCTATGCAGGGAGGTATTTGTTTACTGTATTTCCACCAAGAAATTGCATTATTATGAAGCCTTTTCTAGCCAGCTGAGTCTTAAGTACAACCAGAGGCATCAGCCCATAGCCAAGTCATTAAGACAAATTAAGATATATTAACATATGCTGGAAGCAATTACCCACATAGATTTAATTTGTTTCACTGCTGGGAGAAAGTCCTAACTGAGAACCAAACACATACCCAAAAATAGTTCTGTAGTTACCCTGTGACTCCATTACTTGTCAGCCCTTTAGGGCTGGAAGCTGCTTAAGTTGAACATTTACCAAAGAAGGACAATATATTTGAAAATGCATTCTGTATGAGGTCCAGGAGGTGGGTTCTCAAGCAGGTTTCATAGGATTCTGTTTAAATGGTGGTTTTCCTGTTCCTGCCATTCATTATTTTTATAAATAATTATTTTAATTTCTCAAAATAAATGGCTGATTCTAAAATGAAATAAGCATATTTTATAAAAATAAATATACCTAGCACATTTATATATTTGCATCATCTTTGCTCTTTTTTAAAGAGACCTAAACTAAAAATGAGATTTTTCATCTATTTCTGAATTGTGGCCTTCAGTCCCTCTTGGGTATTTTTGTTGTTACTATCATTATTATTTGTATAATTGTTATTTTTAGTCTTTTTACTATTAGGAAAAGAAGGCCTCAGCACCAAATTCCATTTCTCACAACAAAAGCAAGTGTAGACTCTCCCATCCAGGTTATTCTAGGATGTGGCTTACGATATTCTCTTCCTTTGGCAATAGCACAGTCTTGTCACAGAAGTTGGTGAATGGGCCCTTGACAACAGCCCGGGGTGGCTGCTAAAGAGTTCAGAGCACCTTCTCTAAAATATTAACTTCCAAAGGAGTGATCATCTGTTTGAGAAATGGTGTGTTTAAAGTGATGTGACCTCTTCTGTTTTCATAATAGTGACAGCTTCCTTGCAGATTTTTCCTGTACATTAAATTTGTATCATTATAGGTAAGGACCATAATCCTGTAGTCACTTTAAAAATAGATAGGCCCTTTATAGCGGGAAATAAATATAGAAACTACCTGGGTATCCTGATAGCCTTATAGGTTTACATGTCCCTTAGGTTTGCTTTGCGACAGCCTCGTCCTTTCTCCTGCTACTGAATGCTTTAGATTTTGCAAATAGTTATGGGATGACTCAAGTATGTTCAAAGTACAAAATCATTTTTATGATGGTCATTTGACTCAAAATGTGATCCTCATTTTGGAAATCAGGCAGGTTAGAGTGCAGTACCTCCAGATTACAGCTTGCTGAGAGATACTTTGGTTGCTTCTCAATTTGCTCTCCCTTTCTCAGAAGTCCAGTAAGAAAGCATCATTTGCCTCCATTTATACAAGCATCTTTGATGGGGGCAAGGGTTTCAAGCAAGCAGAGATGTACACCTTCCACTTCTAATAGCTGTCCTTGGTATTCTGTGCAACCTCAAGTCTAGGCAATATTCAGTTATTTTGTTGATAACCAAATACTTTGAAACTAGATCAAACAGTGTGGCTATAAATCTCTTAAATTACCTATGCCCTCCAAAATTATTAACTTATATCTTTCCTCTTTCAAACAGAAAACTTAATATGTTAGAAGCCAAATGCAATAAAATGGCTCACCTAGAAACAATTTGAAAATTGTGAAAAGAGGAAGGAAATATGTTAGCCAAGATGGATAACAGAATTACCATAATTTATTTTAGAATTATGTCCTAAGACAATCTAAAGATCCAGTAATAAATGGATGATTAAATACATTATGGTACAGACACATGACAGAAAATTATGTAGCCAGTGAAAAATGCTTACCATTGTACTAAGTGTTAAGAAGGGAATGATTTTAAAACTATAGAGTTAAATTAGTTATGTATACAAAAAGCTCAAGAAAAATATTGGAAGAAAATTCACCAGCATACTAACTGGTTGATGAGGTAAAGTGACTTCTGTTTTGATCTTTATATTTCTTTCTTTTATTCAGGCGATAGTACTGAATATACATTACCTTTATAATCATATGTAAGCATTCTTTCTTCAGTTAAGATTCCCAACAGAATCGTGATTTGCACGACTTCATGATTCTCTCATATGATAAGAGAACTGTCTCAGTTCTTTAAATTTTCCCTTGCTACTGAATTCTGAAAGAGGTTTACCAAGAATATATATATATTGAGTGTATAATGTATAAATCTTGATACTCAGAGCACTTGCAGAAGGGAACTCCTTGTGACTGTTTTATGACCTCTTCCAAAAGAAACAGAGGCCAGGACCATGGGAAAGTCTGTGCCTTACTGGGCTTCTATCCCTGAATTCTGTGTTTGGAATTCTCAAGAGCTTCTTTTGCCTTTTTCATCTTCTCCAAATAAACAGTGTGAGATGAGCCTTATAAATGTAGAGAACAACTCTTGGATCCTTATTTAACACCTTGAGTATTGAATTCCCAGCCCTGGAAAATTATCTTTATAAATGGGTATAATTTGATTTCTCCCAAATCTCCTTGCAGGCGTTGCTGCCCTGGATTCCAACGTTTCTGGAAAAATTGGTCTTCGGGCTGTGGTGTATTATTTCTGTACCACCATCATTGCTGTTATTCTAGGTAACATTTATTTCTGAATCATTTTCTTCTATATAATTGTGACTTTTCACTCAAAAACTTTCTGAAATGCACATTTTAAATCAGAAAGTAACACTGTCAAACTACTTTGTGGCCTTGAAGTCTCCATAGCACCTTCTATATAAATAAAACACAATCCTGAATGAGTTTTAGCCCTGGTGCTGCTGATCAAAATCTCTAAGAAGCAGAGAGACAGTGACAGTTCTGTGCCTTGTCAGGATCATTAGAAGAAAGTGGAGCCAAGCACTTACATAATCTGGAACTGAATAATTGGTAGAGTTGGGTATAATTTTAAAATATTTCCAGAATGGTAGCATTTCAACATTTTTCAGGTTTCATACAACAAGGACTACCAGTCTTGCTAAGTATAAATCTCACTTTTAAAAGGGAAGAAGTTCTAAGAAGGGAATGGCTGCTCACCTTTAGTATGGCATTGAGAAAGAAGGTTGGTCCATCTTTTGTGACCTATTGTGACATTTAAGAAGGATGCCCAGAGTGGGAAGAAAGTGAAGAAATACACTCATGTGTGCCGGCCAGCTTAACCTTTGCAGTTCTGCTTTAATGAATGGATAAAAAGTAGTGGAGGGGGAGGTTTCAGTGGTATTCAGAGGTTTAGTCAGGGAGCCTCAGAGGACCTAAACTCTGCCCTAAACCAAAGCCACATCACCTCGAGAGGCTCCTGAGGGAGATAAACAAAGAAAAAGTAGCAGAGAGAATGCAAGGTAGCAGTTTATTGTTAGCTGGTGTTACATCCCTTCTGCAACCCTCAGTCCACCTGTATGACGTGTTCACACATAAGAGCTTTGCAGATATCTGAAGGTGTGTGTCACTGCAGGAAGATAAAATGAGGCTTGTTCTGTGTGACCCTTGGGAGAATGACCAGCATCTGTGTGCAAAAGATGTGAAAGATACTGAACAAGTTTACTGGGCTGAGAAATGAATCACCCTCACCCCAACACCTGCCTACGTTGATTTCATAGGCTAAAGAAAAGAAAAAAGAATATTCTCATCAGCAGGTGCTTCCAGAAGGAATCCTGGGATGTGACCTCCTCATTTAAAAAAAAAAAAAGAAAGAAAGAAAAACATAGAAAGTTCTTTCTGCTTATTCATTTCAATGAAATATTACTAGGGCAGCTGCTGGGGTTCTGGCAGGGGCTCTACATTTTGGTTGGACCTTGGGGTACCCCTCACAACAGTGTTGCCTGGTACCACTCAGCCTGCGCGTTGTAAGAAGTGTATACTAGGATGCCAGGGACCCTGGAAGTTCTTAATGCTATGTGGATCCTGCCCTTCATCACAGGTATTGTGCTGGTGGTGACCATCAAGCCTGGTGTCAGCCAGGAGATGGGTGAAATTGACAGGACAGGCAGCACCCCTGATGTCAGCACAGTGGATGCCATGTTAGACCTGATCAGGTGAGAGTCTTGGCTTCCTTTTGTCATCGAGGTCATTGCACAAGGCCCTGCACGTGGCTTAATGCTCTGCTGTCATGGTCTTAAATTTTTTTTTTTTTGGTTTTTCTCCGGTACCGGGAACCGAACTCACGACCTTGCGCTTGCCAGGCAGGCGCTTTTGCCGCTGAACTAAATCTCCAGCCCCTTAAATTTTTAATAGCTTTGAATTATTGTACATTTCCTAGCCTCGACCTCCAAATTGCATAGCCAGTAATTTCTGCTTACGGGTCATGGTTCTAGGAACAGGCCTCTCTGTTGGAATTTAGGATGGATGGAGGTGCAAAAAGTATACTTGCTGTATGAAGATGCTGGGCTGGCTGGGTTGGATGGTCAGTTCTGAAGCACCCTTGGAGAAATACATTTTTGTTATATATCAGAAAGCTCCTTAACTAAAGCATTGAGACCCAGAAACACAGTTGATTGAAATAGCAGTTTAGGCAGAGACTCATAGAAATGTTGTAGGATATGCATTACATATTTTGTTCCCATTTAAATGCATTTATTCACCAATTTTTGACGTAGGGCCATAGTATTTCTTTGAGTGCATCAGTTTATTATAATGTCATACCTTTCTATATGATACGCTGCCCTTACAGGTATATAATCTCCACTCTGCAGATTCAGTTTCCAAAGTGAACAACAAAACCTTAGACATTGCAAAGAAAGCCAGGTGCCAAATCCTCCTAGTTTCTCTTTTTATTTCAGTTGTCTCCCCATAACTAATTTAACCAGAAAAATATTAGTCATTTCCCTTTATTGAGTTTCCAGGCATTCAGCTTAGTTTTTAATGGAAACTACACCTTTTTCACCCTCACACTTCACCAGTTTACATAATATTGAAGTAAGCAATTACAATATTTGCACTTGGCATAAAATTTGGGAACAAATACAGAAGAGTGTTGTTAAGCATATTGCCTACTTATGAAAACAGTAAGGTGCGGAAGATTAAAGAACTGTCTCTTGCCTGGGAGTATCCACCTGCCAGGACAACATCTCACTGAGTTCAGCCAGCTGTCACTTGGTGAATCTGTTACATGACAGCTGCTGGACAGTTTTCTGTACTCAGTTTAAGATGGAAGAAATAAGTCTTCATTAATTTGTCCCTTATTCCTGAGTTTAAGATGGAAGAAATAAGTCTTAATGCAAGGAAGTATTATACAAAGGAGAGGCTAGAAGAGAAAACAGTGTTATTCTATGTTTTACTCATTTCCTCCAATGTATTGAGTACGACAAAAATAACCCCACTTTTTGCCCTACCATAATACTGCTTTCATATCTTCAACAGGAATATGTTCCCTGAGAACCTTGTCCAAGCCTGTTTTCAGCAGGTAACATTAATCATTTTTGTTCCCAGTTGCTTCCTGTTACCAGCTAAGATTTTTTTTCTGTTATGGCCCAAGAAGTGAAATTAGCCCATCACAAATGGCAGCAGCAAGCACACTTGTGAGTGGTGGAATTTCAGGTGACTCCTCTGTTTTGCACCCGGGGTCTTCCCAGTCCACAGTGAAGTGCGTGTCATAATTTGCGCTGCTCTCTTGTCCTCTGTGCCCTTTTCCTTCATGAGGGCTCAAATGGAGCAAATAAAGAATCTGTCCAAAATGAGTGTTTTAAAATGTAGCCTCTAGTACCTGGTTTGGAGAATCATGCTATATTTCTAAAGAAACTTGGACTCTCTGCAGATGCAGTGCAGTGAGAAAAACAAAGAGTTCTCCATCTTCTCTCTCCTGTCCATCTCATGCTGGCAATCCATGTCTAACCCACATGATGTAGTTGGTATTCCTGGAATTAGGTCTTTTCCTTAACCATTATGTACCCATTTCTGGCATTCTCTGAGCTGGGTGACAAAGCTGTGGATTTTTCCCCGGCAAAGTTTAGCTATCTCTTTGCGCTACTTACAAGTATTTTTGTTTCTATTTATCTATGTACTCTAAGCAGCTGCGTCTATCACTAACTGCTGCATTCATTTACACGAATTACATGAACAGAGTCCTTTCTGTACACCAACAGAAACGGCAATTGTATCACTCCCCGCCAACCTCCTTGAGGCACAGAACCACCTCTATTTCAGGAGTGCCCTTGAAGATCAGCTACAGTTAGTCATTTGTAAGGGTCCCAGTGCTGGCAGAGCCCTGTAGGAGGAGCATTATGCCTGGCATAATAATGTACTAGGTCTTTCTTAAACCTCTGTGTTGAAGCTACACAGAACCAAACAGGGATGTAGCCAGAGAATTCAACAGAAATCTCACTCACAGAAATAGCACTGAAAGGAGTGTTGACTTGAGCACATCCATCTAGGTAAACCTGTCTTAACAGTTATTAAATTTATGGGGACAACTTTTACCAAAGGGATGAGGTAATTTTTCCACATAAAAATAATTAATTAAAAATATGATCAAGAGGAATCCTTACAAGATCTGTCTGCAAAAGTACCTATGGATAAAACTTTTTCTTTCACATATTTCTGCATTAATTTGCCCCTTATTGTGAAAGTGAGAACACATTCTGACATTATTGAGCAGTGGTTGTGGGATGCAGGGGTAATTTTTTTACCCGGTTTTTAGGGCCAGATCCTCATAGGAGGAGTCATCAAAAACTAGAAACAAAAGAAGCATCCGAGATAGAATCCTTAGTGGCACTTGTTTGGCCAAAATAATGTATTCCTGTGGTGTATCTTCAGAAGGTTAAAAAGCTCTTATTTTTTATGTTTGCTTGTCTTTGTTTTTGTCCAATGTACAGTATAAAACACAGCGTGAAGAAATAAAGTCTTCCAGTGATTCGGAGAGGAACACAACAGAGGCGCCTGTCACCACCGTCATGACAACAGTTTCTCAGGTACCATTCTGTGTCCTGCTAGGCTGGTGCCAGGCACGAGTAAGCAGGAGACGGACAGAGTCTGTGTTATTCACAGAATCCACAAGTGTGAGTTCACTTCCCTGCTAAAACTTATTTGTAAACCCACATTCAGTACTCATGGTCTTTTCATGGTCATTCGCAAAGAGCACACGGAGTTTCAGCCGCCCACTCAAGAGTTCCGAGCTGAGGTTGAACAAGGTTGTACTCTGCCTTCTTGTTTTTGGCTCTCATACTATACACACGCATCCATTTTGTGGTGTGTCGATTGCCACTTTTGTGTGTGTGTGTGTGTGTGTGTGCTTTTTCTTTATTTAAAATGGATCAAATTCTAGTAATAAAGTATTCTCTAATGTTAATAAGCACAAAAATGTTGTGATGTGACTTACAGAGAAAATAGGTGCATTAAAAAAGCTTCATTTGGGCATGAGTTATGGTTTTGTTGGCCATGAGTTCAATGTTAATGAATCAACAATGTGTATTGAATGAGAAGTCTTTAAATAGAAACACATAAAACAATGTCAGGTATTGATTATTTGATGTAAATGATGTGACCAGGGTTCCCAGGAACTTACCCTTGTATTTCACCTAGGAGCAATAGTTCAATATTTGCTAACTCAGTGTTCCTGAGGTCTTTACAGGACATGACTACCAGAAGTAAAAAGGATCAACTGTACCTACAGAAAAAAAAAAATAATAAGCCTTTTGCCACTGTCTCTCTACCACGCCTTATAGTTGGACACTTTATAGTTGGACACTTGCTTTCAATTTGCAAGCCTTTGTAAACAGGATACAAGCACACAATTCTTTATCCAAATCCCTCTGCCTGGATGTGATTCCAAGTCCAGAGCTCCTCAGACTTTAGAAAGGTCAAGCGGTGTGGGTAGTGCTTAGCTCATGTGTCTTCCGGGGATGGTAGCAACACTCCAGAAGGAAGCATTATCAATGTGTCTGCAGCAAACTGCTGCATACTCTGTCAGACAAGAGGAATAGATTTTCAGGGGACTTATCTCTATTCAGGATAAGCTTTGTTGCCAAAAGGGTTTGCCATAAACTGCTAATTACGATCAGTGGGCTTTGAGAGTTTTAGAGATTTCACAACTGGAGATAAGAATGTGTGATCCTGAAGCGGTGCCTCTCTAGGCCATATTAGACTTCTCCTGAATGTTCTCTGCCTTTACGCAAAAAAAGAAACATTGCAGGAAAAGAGAAAGAGTCAGAAGACTTAAGAATTCAAATTAAATGGAAGCTATGGTAAGAGGCCTCCATGGCCTGGCTTCTCTTAAGTTTTCACAGCTTATTTCCCAGTGGACCCTTCTCTTCTGTCCAGATCTGGCTCCTCAGTTATTCCTTCTCCCTGCCTTTTTATGTTTCACGAACATTTTTCTGAACCCCTTGCATATGCCAGGTCTTACCTCGCATATGGATTTTAGAGCCTCAGTGGAGGGGGGATAAAACTTGATACAGAAGCAGGGATGACATCATGATGATGATGGTGGTGATGATGAAGTTTCTTAAAGTGAGGTTGACTTTGACTGGGAAATCACTGTGATTATAATCATGCATTACAATTATAATAGTCAAAGATACATACGGCATCTGCCCACATGTGAAAAGTGGTAAGTATTAAAATCAGGAAGAACAGGGTGCTTGGAAGTATTCAGCAGGGAGTTTTAAATTAGTTTAGGGGTCACAAAGGATGAGTAAGATTATTCAAGCAGGTTGCAGAGGGCCACTACACCTGACTTTTGCCTTTGCTTGCCATTTTCTGGAACATGTTATATCTCCTGGCTGCCAAATCTCAAACCTAGCTTTCTCTACCTTTGAAACCCATTCATGGCCCAGGCTCTCCGTGACACTTGTAACTCATAGCGTGGCATCAGTTAATTATACACCAACTTGGTATTGCCTCATATTTCTCACAGTTTGTCCTGTCTCTAAAGCCGAAGTTTAAGACTTCAGGCTGTAGCTAGTGCAGTTAGAACACTCTGGCTACTCCCTAAATATTTGTTTCACCATATATAAGAAATGACTGGTATCCCGTTGGTTCATGAACATAATTCTTTATAAACCTGATCCATACCACTCAGGTTATGTTGTCTACTCTCAATAAATCTCATGCTATTTTCACCCAGGATAAAGTAAAGAAATGGTTCATAGTAGCAAGTATCTGATAATTTTTGCATCTCTAAAATCCTGTTGGCCATCCAAAGCCAGAGGCAGTGAAATGTGTTCCTGTGCTTCATGATCAGGGTGAAGCAGATAGTAAAACGTCCTAAAATGGTTCACACTGGTATTTTCTACTTCCTGCATTATTAATTCCTATCTTTCTTAAAATAGACTCCAAATGTAGCTTAAGTAGTTAAAGTGACACTGAAAAGAGCCCTGATTCTAAAATTCATCCTACAAATGTAAAACGTTCCAAAATTAGAAATTTCCAAAAGAAATATTCAAATATGGATTTGTTAGGAGAAGAAAAACCTGTTAAGCCTCAGTGGAGGGGGGATAAAACTTTATACAGAAGCAGGGATGACATCATGATGATGATGTTGATGATGATGAAGTTTCTTAAAGTAATGTTGACTGGGAAATCACTGTGATTATAATCATGCATTAATATATTTTCTTGGCTTTGACCCACAGAACAAAACAAAGGAATACAGAATTGTAGGCAGTTATGCAGATGGCATAAATGTCCTGGGTTTGATTGTCTTTTGCCTCGTTTTTGGACTTGTCATTGGAAAAATGGGAGAAAAGGGGCAGATTTTGGTGGATTTCTTCAATGCTTTGAGTGATGCGACCATGAAAATCGTTCAGATCATCATGTGGTGAGCAGACACTATTGAATGCCATTTTGCTTTGCCTCCACAACACTGTCTCCTTGAAATTAGAGAAGAAAAAAAAGCTAATGCTTCTCAACTGGCCTCTTCCTAGAGGACACAGACGCTAAACCTCACATACTGTTCAGTAGTTCATTCTTCATAAAAGTCTACCTGCCAGCACTGTCTTTCCCTCCAAGCCCCAGGAGGTCATCTTGTACCCAACCAGCACTCATGTAAAAAGGGACTCTTGAAGCAATAATTTGTAATAGTTACTTGTACATCAGAACACAAAATGCTGTCCTTCTTAGGCCTGAGGCAGAGATTTAAAATACTGATAAACTTCTCTGGCATTGGCACTAACCCATCTGAAGGAAAGATGTCATCTGAGTATCTAGAGACATCATCTGAGTATCTGCCCTGTCTCTGAGATGCCAAAAACTCCACTTTTCCCAAGAGGCCTCACTTATCTCTTACAGAACTGGTTCACCATTATTTAATCCAAAGGTAGATATTGATAGTGATGTAAAAGATTCGTTAATAATAGGTAGGTGTGTCACTTAATCCTGAAAAAAAACCTCAGCTTTATCATCTGTTAAAAAAAAATAACAAAGCTTATGTGTATGGCAAGAACAATATATTAAGTGAGATGATGCATGTCAAATACTTTCCTCAACCCAAGACATAATGAGCTCTGCAAGTAAAGCTATTATGACCACTGTACTACTACTACCATTGCCTCTGTTGTGATACCTGCAAAACAAAGCGATCATGGCTAGAAAGAGCCAAGCATGCATATTTTGTAGTGAGAGTCAAGCTCAAGTGAGATAAGCAGATCTGAAAAATCTGTAGGATGAATGTGCGCTGTGTTTGCTTATGACGTAGGGTATGCACCAGTCTGACCACAGATTGTCAAGTTTGCAAACTACTCTCATAGTAGTTTGAATGGGCAGAATCTAAGGTGCATGCAGCTGCTAAAACCAGAGCCAATAGTCCACCCACAGCTCAATGCTGAGTCCTTGGTTTCATGCTGTCCCCTGTGTTCCTCCCAGCTGAGAGGGCATGCAGCCTGAGGCTGTGCGCCCCGGCTTGTTCCCTCCCCAACATCCCCAGCCGGAGAAAATCCCTTGTCATGGGATTGTGTCTTTGTTGTGCTTACTTCTTAGCTACATGCCGCTTGGTATTTTGTTCCTGATTGCTGGGAAGATCATAGAAGTTGAAGACTGGGAAATATTCCGCAAGCTGGGTCTTTACATGGCAACTGTCCTGAGCGGGTATGTCTGACTCAAGAGAAGAAACAGAAACTGCACTGGTCCAATAGGATTGCTACAGAGAGGCGGGGGTATCATGGGTTAAAGTCGGCTTTGCTCTGCTCCCTAGCGCAGAGACAGATAAGGTTGAGAAACAAGAGAGCAGGGGGAGAGGGCTGCCCTTTACCAGCTGCACTGTAGGTGGATCGTTCTGGGCTAATTGCCCGCTTTTGGCAGAACAGCCTGGACTGGGCTTTGCCACTGCTGCTGTTGGTTGTGTTTAAGCGATTTCTTAAAGCAAGAGATAAAACCACCCATGGCTTCTTTTGGCTGCTTCCTGCCTATTACTTCCTCAAGAATATAAAGCAACCAAGCGAGTAAGAATACCCCCTACAGAGCCTTGATAGTGGAATTTTAGGGCAAAAGCCCCAGCTTATGGGGAGGGAGTCCCCAGCATCCCAGTCTGGGCCACTTGTCCCAAGGTGCCAGTGAGGGAGAGACGCAGGGGTGAGGGGCAGGAAAGGAGGTTTCATCAGCACAACCACGCCATGAGGACAGGCAGAGAAGTTTGAGATCTGTCTTTAAGCAGCCGGCAGAGATTTTAGGGTTTTATAGAAAAGGGGAACGGCACCAGGACAGAGGGTTTGTACAGCAGGCAGCACAGGTAATCCTGGCCAAGCGTAGTCTGCTCTATAATTATCTCAGGACTGGGTCTTTGAGGTCGTAGAGAGTGCGTGAGGGGGCAGTTTGGTTCCCTTCCTGAGGTGACTGATGGCTCGTACTTAGGAGGGCTGCCCTGGCTCCATCACAGGGTAATTGGTCCTCATCATGGGGTGGTCTGTGAGCCTGTGCTTTTCCTGGAATCCAAGGTAACCGCAGGTCGAGGATAATGACTGGAGGTTTCCAGGCATCACTCCAGGGGGTGTGGACAGTATAAAAGCAGGCGACTGAATGACCCTGCAAACCCAGAAAATTACTTTAGTTACTCTTGGTATCCTCAAGATGCCAAAGGGATTAAAGGGGGATTATAAAAGCTAGGTAAGTTTAGTGCTAATTATCCTTATATTACTAGTTTTTGGACGGATACTCCTTAAGTGATTAACATGCCAATATGCAGAGATGAGCAGGAATTTGGCCCAAAGTTTTAACATAATAAAGGAAACAAGCATAAAGTGAAGGCAGGGATACCAAGATCTATCCTGTTTTTAGTTACCCACTAGGCATCTGCAGGTTCAGCCTCTAAGTCCCTATTATATCCTGACACTGAAAGAAATTAAGAAGGATCTAAGTGGAGTCAGACTCCAGCTGGTAGGAGCAGGAGGGCTAATTGGTTCAACTGCTTTTCCTGCAGCTGGTGGCTACTGCCTCGCCCCCACATCAGCAGGTGTCAGGGAGGGTGCTGGGGAAATAATCAGGCTACTAAGAATCGTGTGAGGCCCTAAGGCAGAAGGATGGGTTGTTTGCAGGTTACAGGCAATTATTGGCTCCCTCAGAAGAAATGCAGTGGGCAGGTTACAAATGGTACCCCCTAACATAGCCAAGGGCAGGATATGTCACACATGCTGAGAAATATAGGCCAAAGGAAGGAGGAAGTAGTATTGACTTAACTCCCACAGGTCAAACACCCACTATAAGCTATCGACTCTCTTATTGGAATTGATTGCACTGCAGGGTTCCTGCTGCACACAGTGATTCTTGATCTGTGTTTGCCAGAAGTACAGACCTTCCAGCCAACACGGAAGCAGCCTGGGTGTCTACAGTGCGGGGCTAGAGTCACATCCCAGAGCCAGTGGTCAGTGAGGCAGGCCGTCCACCTCACCAATGTCCAGCCCTTCTCTAGAGCTGCTGAAACAGGCAGTACCAGGGCTGTTCTGATACTCAGCCACTCCACAGTGGAGCTGTGCTGGCTTCTTTTCTCTGGCAATATATAAATCTCTAACAAAAACTAAAAGTTAGAGTTAAGAACTCATCATTCTTAACTATAAGCCCTCTACTGAGAAGACCCCATTTTGACGCCTCCAAGATTTGTATTTGCAATGATCCTTTATTATTTTGACTTTGTGTAATGGATCTGTAGACTGTTAGGTGCCACTTACATATACATGCCATCTGCCAAAGGGGTCTTATTTCTTAAATTCCCTATTTTGGGGAACCTTTGTATTTCCATGTGAGATGAGGAATAATTTGGGAAGACATGAATAATAAAGAAAAGAGGTCCAGTCTTAAAGAATGTGGAGAAGCAGGGACATTTCCCTTATTGAAACTCTGACTTTCCGCAGTGTACACTGTTGAGTAAGATAGTGTGGTCCAAGGGCAGAGAGAAGAGGCCAAGACAAGACTTACAATAAGGAGTCACGGGGCCAGAGGAAAAACATCAGTTCCACATGGGAAAACGAGGGGAAGCTTCCTGGAGAAGGGGGTATAAAATGAAGAGCATATTCACATCTGGCAGAAACAGCACATTACAGGGAAAATGGCAGCCTGATGTAGTCCTGTTCTGCAAGCTCTGAATTGGGACTTGGCTATAGAATTTATCACCACCTTTGACAGGATGCTTCTTTACTGACGGAGCCTCCGCGTCCTCATCTGCCGAATAAGGACATATCACTCCTGTGCCATGTGCCATTTTCTCATGGGTTCTTTATGAAAGTTGGAAAATGTGATTTAAAAAGCTGTTTGAAAAAAGGAGTCAGTATGAGGAGGTGGTGTCCTCTAAAACGGTTTCTCTCTTTCTCTCGTTTGCAGGCTTGCAATCCACTCCATTGTCATTCTCCCACTGATATATTTCATAGTTGTCCGAAAGAACCCTTTCCAATTTGCCATGGGCATGGCCCAGGCCCTGCTGACAGCTCTCATGATCTCTTCCAGGTAACTAGCAGAGGGGTTTCTGGAAGAAGCGTCCAGGCCACACTATCAGCTCTCACTTCACTAGATGAAGCGAACTCCAGGTTGTAGTTTTGGGAGTCCCTTTGAGAGATAGCCTCATATTCTCTGCCCTGTCCATGAGCGTATTTCTTCACTCTGTTGACTGCTCCCAGTGCTCCTGGCATGGCTGCAGCCCAGGAAGGAGTTCCAGGATAACTGGGGCAGTGATGGGCACAGAACCTTCTGATTTCTGAACTGGCCAAAAGTGCCAAAATGCTTTAAGCCCTCTGTTTACTTTTTGGAAAAGAGGTGGGGGTTGGAGACAAGCATTCTTGGACCACAGCTCTTTTCTCTTTTTATCACACCAGCTCAGCAACCCTCCCTGTCACCTTCCGCTGTGCAGAAGAAAAGAACCAGGTGGACAAGAGGATCACTAGATTTGTGCTGCCTGTGGGCGCCACGATCAACATGGATGGGACTGCACTGTACGAAGCAGTGGCAGCTGTGTTCATCGCACAGTTGAATAACTTGGACTTGGGCATCGGGAAGATCGTCACTATCAGGTGAGGATGGTGTCACTCTCATTTCCATCTGGGAAGGAGACCACAAATGGCTCAGAGATGCATTTTTTGTTTCGTTTTGCTTTTTGTTTGGCCTCCAAATCCCTTCCCAAGATTCAGTATAAGTAATGGACTCATGGTACCCCAGATTTCTGCTTCGGGATCTGGGTAGCCAAAGCATCACTCTGCTCAGTTCAGTGCACCTAGTAAGTCCCAGTTGCAGAGTACATGCCCAAGACTCAGAACTGAATGAGGACCAGCACCTGCATTCAGTGTGTCCCTGGTAGCTGGGAATAGATATCCAAAGGAGGCTGTACTGGAGGCCATCACAGAACTCTGTATGGTAGCCAGCGGAGGGAAGAATTACCTCCCTTGGTTGGTGAGAAAAGACTTCCTGGAGGAGAAAGTATACTGACTCTTCAATGAGGAATAAGAGTTTTACAGGCCAAGATGGAAGATAAAAGCTTTGGCTAACAGAAGTAGCTCATACGGGGTTCACACAGGGATAATTCCACAATACAGACTATTTGGAATGGCCAGACTAAGAAGTAGAGTGTAGACTGCATAAAAGAATGCAGAGGTCAGAGTCATATCATGAAAAACTTTATATGGGGTGCTCATATCATGGACAAATTTGTATTTTAAGAAACTGGAAATGTGGATGGTTTGGAGGGAGTGGGGATCACAAGCTGGAAAACCACTTAGGCCCAGGTGGGGTATTTAAAGGCTTACCTCAAGGCACTGACACTGGGTATGGAGAAGAACAAATAAACAAGTATCATTTGAATTTCAGGTGAGGGACTGGGGAAGAGTAGGATGACTCCCAGGACTGGTGGATAGCTGTGGTTGTAGATGGGGTCATCTAGCATAAGAGAAGCAAGAGAGAAATGAAGACATTTTGAAATCCATTGAATTTGAGATGCCCTTAAGATTTACAGCTGGGAAAAAACAAAAACAAAAAAAACAAAGCTAGGCATAGTGGCGCATGCTTATAATCCTAGCACTTGGGAGGCTGAGGCAGAACAATCACTGTGCACCTGAGGCCAGCCTAAACTACGTAGTGAGACCTTGTTTTAAAATAAAACAAACAAACAAAAAAAGATTTCCAGGTGGATCTAGGCATGGTGATGCACACCTGTATTCCTAGAATTTGGGGAGGATGGGGCAGATTGACAAGTTTGAGCCCAGCCTAGGGCAATTTAGTAACTCAGCAAAAACCAACCTATCTCAAAATTTTAAAATAAATAAAAGAGAGAGAGAGAGAGAGAGAAAAAAAAAAAAGAAAGAAAGAAGGAAAGAAAGAGTAGCTTGCTTGTTTTCTTTCTATGGAGTGTAGCTCAGCACTAAGGCCCTGGATTCAATCTCACTCTTTGGGGCAAAAAAGACTTCCAGCTAGATATATGCAGTGAGAAATACAGGTCTGGAGTGCAGATACAGAAGTCAGGATCATCAACTTTATGGTGGTCATCAGACATGTGGGTCATGAGTCAGTTGTCTGTGTTTGAATCTCAGCAACACAATGATTAGCTGTGACCTTGGGCAAGGGACTTGCATTATGTAGCTTCTGTTTTATCACTTGTAAAATGAGGTTCATAATGGTACCTACAATTTATCCAAGTGGTGGTGAGTAAATAAGCTTATGCATATAAAATCTTTAGTGCCTACACAGTTAGTGCTCAGCAAATAATAAACAGATGACATTACGTAAGGAGAGTCTGCAGCAAAGAGCTGACACAAAGGGCTGAGCTTTGGAAAATCTTCATATAGAGATAAACTGAGAAAGAACACCCAAAAAGAAGAGCAATTAAGAAAAATGTGGGCCTCAGACCAATATATCTCACCATGTACTAAACCAAAATAAAGATGGATCAAAGACCTAAATGTTGAAACAGAAACAATCTGCTTAAAGATAAAATAAGTAAAACTCCTCAAGAAATAGGGATAGGCAAAGGTTTTCTGAACAGAGCTGCAGTTGCACAGGAAATAGTACCAAGAATCAACCAAATTAAAGGATCGTACCAAATTAAAACCTTCTGCAAAGGAAACAACAAGGTGGAAACACAACCTACAGAATAGGAAAAAAAAACTGCTAGCTATTCATTGGACAAAGAACTAATATCTAGAATATATAAAGAACTCAAATAGGTAGAAGCTCCCAAAATAAAACACCCAGTCAAAAAATGGGCAAGTGAAATGAACACACTTCACAAAAGAACACACGACCAATAAATACATGAAGACATGTTCAACATCACTTGACCTAGCTATTCTCCTTCTAGGTATCTTTCCAAAAGAGATAAAGATATCACATTATAGTGATACATGTTTGTAGAAGCACAGTTCATAATAGCTAAATCTTTTATTGTGCTCTTTATCTCAATTTTGGGTTACTCATGTAGAGGAAACATGGTATTTAAGCTCCATGGCATTTAAACATTATTTAAGCTCTGGAAGCAGCCTATGTACCCCTCAGCAGATGAAAAGATAAAGAAAATGTGATGTTTACACACCATGGAGTACTACTGTGCCATAAAGGATAAACTTGAATCATTTGCAGGAAAATAGATGCACTTTGAGACCATGTTAAGTGAAATAAATCAGACACATGAGCTTGAATACCATGTTTCCTCTATATAAGTAACCCAAAATTGAGATAAACAGCACAATAAAAGATAGGTAATAGGAAGTAGGGAGATTAAAATTTTCACAAATGGGAAGGGGATCAAGAGATGGAGGGAGAAGGGAGGGGAGGGGAGGGAAAGGGAAAGAAATGAAAAAAGGAATTAAGATGTGCTATGTACATATACCAGCTCCATACAAGGAGTGTAAACGTTATTTCCTGCAAACATGTCCATTACTAGTAAAAAAGAAAGAGGTAGGAGGTAGCCAGGAGCCATGGTATCATGAAAACCTAAGAAAAGACAGATTGTCAAGGATGAAAGTGGTCCAGAGTCAGACACTACAGAGAAATCTAGTCAAATGAGGACAGAATTTGTCTGCTGAAGGAGATGGTGGAAATGTCCTTAGCGAATTTTGTCAGATTTGTTTCTGGGACAGTTCTGTCCCATATGATGACCATGCACCTCATGAGGACAGTGGCTGGCTGAACTGGACAGGACAGATACCAAACAGTTCCATCGCTGCAGAAGGTTCTACTGGATAGCACTGCGTTTGAGTGACATCCTTGCATCAGCACCCACTTGTGGACTTCAGTTCAGTTTTAGAGTGGAAGTTTAAGATGAAACTGGGTCCCCAGGCCCATTTAAGGTTGAATCTGAATCTTTTACTTAGAGTAAACCAACTTTTAGAACCCCAGCATAGACACAAATGCTGGGCATAGGTGAGCGTCTGTTCACTGACCATGTCCTAATGCTTTACATTTAAAATATCCTCCCCATTCCCAAATCATAAAGTACTGCTGTTTGCTTGAAATGGATGGGAGAAAGGGCAAAATGCACCATTTGGCAGATCACCTGATGGGTGATACAGATACTGCTTTATGTATAAAAAGCATCAGTGGCTAAGGAAGTCCATGTGGAAAGAGCTTTGGTAAGGTCCTGTACTTAGAATAGCGATGAGTATGTGAAAACTAAGAGTGAATTGTGAACTGTGCTTCAGAAAGTTTCTGCCCCACAAGCACCCTTGTGGGCCCAGCAGTTGTTACATTTCCAAATGTCCCCACACACCTTCACCCCTTGGAGGATCCCGTTCTGGAGAATCCAGTCTGCATTGAATTAATTTCCAAGGAGTGGTTGTCTGAGGGGCCGGTGCTTCTCATGTATTTGCCATTGTATGATGAATTCCCTTCCTCTTCCTAAGCCACAACCTTTCTAGATCTTTCTATTTTTTAAAACCTGGCGATTTCAAGGAATCAACTTTGGGCCTAGAGACTAATTACTTAATTTACATCAAAGCCCCTCTCCTCTGGCATATTCTTAAATCTGATTTGCTCATGACCAGTAGCCCAGAACTACTAACAACAGTGAGGCCCAAAGTAATCGTTGACTTAAAGTAAAAAGTCCTCTCTGGCTCTACTTGGAAAATAATAAACGTTTTAACTTTGCAGGTTATAGTTATAACTCCTGTGGCTAATGGTTAAAGAGATTTTTGGACTTATATTTCTTTCTGTACACTGGACATTAAAGAAACATAGACATGATCTTTTTGTGGTTTTACCTTAATAGTCCTTTATCACAGGTTAAAAGTGATTGAAAACGGGGTGAATTGTCTTATATCAAGGATTACTACAGCATTTGGATCCGAGAAAAGGGTTACAGAAAAAAAGCCGTCATTGTAATAGCACAAGTTGTTACCTTTATCCAAAATACTTAGAACAAGACGTGTTTGGGATCCTGGATTTTTTCTAGGTTTTGGACTATTTGCATATACATAATGAGAGTGTAGCATATGGGGGTTGGGGGAACCAGCAGAGACCACCAGGCTTGTGTAAGGCAAAATGGCGTGGAGCTTATTGCGCCTGGGTGCAGGCAAAGAATGCGATAAGACCGTCGGCTGAGAACAAAGAGAAGTGTGTCCCTTCTGATAGGGATGGAGAGAAGGTAAAGGAAATTAGGCAGGAACACCCTAATAAACATCTGCTGTCAAAGTTCTCTGGCAATCTTACATCTCAGTGGGCAGAGTCTTTGAAGTGTCCGATGTAAATTCTTGGGTGTCTCCTTATGTCTCCACATGTCCCAGGAGCTGCAAAATTCCTTGTCCTATCTTATCGCCTTTCCTGTGCTTGCCGTCACAGGAAACTGAGCTAAGTTCCCTGCTGAGACCTGATTTTCCCGCTGAGAGCAGTACTTCTGCTGGCAAGCAGGCTGAGGGCTGGGGGAGTCAGGTCCGATTCAAACCTTACGGAGAGATCTTGGAGACGGAACCAAAGTCTAAACATGAACTTCACTAGTGTTTCAAGTACACCTTACACACATAGCCTCAAGGTAATTTTATAGTTTCGTTTTTAGTACCACCGGCATTTGGGCTGCAGCCTGTCGTGTGAGATCAGATACAAAACGTTCCACTCTGCCATCATGTCAGTTCTAGATCTGGGAGCATTTTGGATGTGGGAAATTTAAATTAGGGAGAGTCCAGCTAGTTGTTTTGGCTATTGCTAAAGTTGTAGGGGCAGTAGTAACACTGGCAGCGGCAACAACAGTAGCGTAAGTAACCGCAGCAGAGAGGATATGTTTTAAAGTACTGGACACGTGCCGCCCACATGGCCTACAAGGATTGCTCTCCACAGCAGCCCTGCCAGGTAGACAGAGTATCCCCACACTATAGGCAAGGAAGTAGACGGAAAAGTGACTTGCCTAAGTTACTTCTGTTAGTAAAACAGCAAAGCCAGGAGTATATCCTCAAGGTGTGTCTGACTGTAAATTCTGTGTTCGTTCTAGTTCACAGCCCAGCCTTCAGCCTGTCTAGAAAGCGGAGCTAAAACTAGGCCCCAGGAAGAGGAAAGAACTTTGTACCTCAGGGAGTGAAAAAACCCCTCTCAGCCAAAGGAGAATATGTTCAAAAGTAGGAACAGGTTTTTAGAATTTTTTACCTTATCTGAAAGTGTATAGTTCTGAGTTTCAGACCAAAGCCACTCTGTCAAAAGATGGAAGTTTTGCAAGCAAGGTCAAGACTCAAAGGCAGAGTTTTCTTTAACTACATAGGTTTTGAGTTTCAAGCCCAGCTTCAGGCTACAGGGACATGGTTAACTATGATGTGTGGAGGCTTCCAAGCGGGATCAATGGACCTGAGCACAGATCACTTCTGACAAAGAAAACCTATTGATGTATTCAGTTTAAATTTATTTTCAGTCAGCAGTGAAATAAAGTTGAGTTTTCTAAAGAGTGCTTGGGTTAGAACAGTTCCAAAAGATTATGCAAACACAAACCTTTTACAGAAATTGATACAGCCCCAGACATCTCTAATTTGCTGTCAATTGGTAGCTATAGGCACTGAAGGAAAACGCACTCCTCACACTTGAGTCTGAATGTGTACCCTCAAAGGGCCTCTGTAACACATCACTATGCAGATGAATAGGCGATAGAATGAGCTTCCTTAGAACTCGGACTTTCTGACCCACAAGGATATGGTTTCGTGCATAGAAGTAGGATGTTTTCTAGTTTAAATGGGGGAGTTTCTACACATTAATCCTTTAACTGGTTAGTATCATGGTGACAGCGCAAGCCTTGGCCCAAGGGTGAGGCTGTGTGTTTAAAATTTATTGTGTGCATCTGATCAAATCTCACCCCAAGACAGGGATTTTTCAGGGCATCATGAGCCTTGATTTCCTCGAGAACAATCCGATTACAATAATAAAGTTGTTAGTGATAAAAAAAAAAAAAAACAACTGTGCATTTCAAAGAGAAAAATCTCTAGTGCCACATCTGATCTGCCCAAGAGGGATCTTTCTTAAATGCCTGGTAATAAAGTTCATGTGGCTGCCTCTCCTGGATTCCAGATTTCTTCATTTTGTATAAATACATTCACTGGCAAAAAGGGGCAGCCAGGAATAAATACTTGTACCTTTGACAGGAGTCATTCTGTCTTTCAATTCAGTGTCCTAAAGGTCTCTGTCAGAGAGGTCAAGAGTCTTGTGACGTCCAGAAAGTGCATAAAATCTACTCGAGCACTTCTGCATTGCTTTACCCTCACCTGAAATATGCCTGTCCATCCACCCTACCCGCCCCTCTACTCATCCTTCAAGGTGACATAAACTCCTAGAACATATTAGATGTTCAGCAAATAATTGGCCAGGTGAGTAGGTAGAAGAAGGGAAGGAGAAAACTCAGGGAGAAGCACCTGGCTTTAGTTTAGGGTGGACATATGGACAGGTAGTAAAGCCTTCTTGCAGCTCTTCTCTATTTCCTGTCAGAGCGATCTGCCATATCTCCCCCTGCCACTGCATGGCATCATCTCCTCTCAGGCCCCTACTGTTTTCATCTTCTAATCAGGCAGAGCTAGTGCTTAGCAGAAAACAGATTCTGACTGCCCAAACTGGGGACATAGCAGGAATCCCTGTGGAGACTAACTCTCAGGCCAGGGGCCTCAAAGAGAGAAATAGAGGTCTCACTTCTTCCCTAATGGTGTGTTTTGGCTACAGCATCACAGCCACAGCTGCGAGCATTGGAGCTGCTGGCGTACCCCAGGCTGGCCTGGTGACCATGGTGATCGTGCTGAGTGCTGTGGGCCTGCCTGCTGAGGATGTCACCCTGATCATCGCTGTCGACTGGCTCCTGTGAGTTGAAATAAATACCCTACCTCAGCTGGATGGACCAGCAGCTTCCTAGCCATGCAGAATCTGCAGTCTGCCATAATTATCTTCTCCGATTGCCTAATGAGCCATCTGTTGCTTCTTTAATTATCCTTTCACCAGGTCACCTTATAACATGCTTAAAATTTAACTCCCATAACTTGAAGAAGTGGTTTTAAAAAACCAATGTGTTCCAATCTCTTATTATACCTGGTAATGCTCAAGGTTAAGGCCTGGGTGTGGGATAAGATAAACATAGGATAATAAAGTTACAGAGCTGGGAAAAACACTGTAGCCATCCCAGCTTATCCCAGCTCTGGTTAGCACCATAGACCCAGAACTACCAAGTTCAAAATGAGTGCATCTTCCCAAGCATCTTTGGAGTCAACAGAGGCAGTGGCACGAGCAAAGGCTTTAGGATAAGCCTGACTTAGGTATGAATTCCACTCAGTGACTTACTTTTTGTTCTTCAGCAAGTCCATGACTTCCCTGAGGTCTAGATGCATTATCTGAGAAAAATTCTGCCTACCTCTTTGTCTTATTGTAGGACTAAGTGAGTTGGTGCCTAGAACTATGTGTGGCAGCCAATAAGCTCAATATATGAGGTTTTATTGCTATGATTAGATGAATTGAACCATTTCTTTTTCACATCTTTCTTTTTCTGTGTGTCTTACACACACACACACACACACACACACACACACACACACACACCACACATAGACACAGATAAGAAATCAATCAGAACATCTGGGTCAGAATGTATCTTCTGTGACCCCCAAGTTAACACTGGATCTAGCCTGGTTCCTAGATTTTCCTTGATGCCCACCTCTGGACATCGGTCCTCCAGCACCTGGATCTGGCCCTGATCCTGGCCATTAGCATCCATGTAAGTGTACCTTGAACCTTCCCTGGGAGCTTGCTCAGGCTGACTCGGGGTCCAGACTGTGTAGTTTGCAGGTGGCAGCTAAGATGGAGGAAAGAGAATCAGAGACGGACCGTGTGAGTACCAAGCCCTGAGCCCGGCTGGGAAGCTGTGCCTTGCAAGCCCCCCTCACCAGCTAGACAGGAGTCTAAGGCCCAACTGAGGTGGCACCGTTCAGGCAAAACTACCCTGCCACTGAGGCAAGCTTTAGTTTTCTTTCCAGTGGTGATGGTGGCTTTGCCCTTCTCTCCCTCCTCTGGTCCTTCCTGGAACCAGCGACCCTCACTGCCAAGTCAGCCAGATAAGTCAAACTCCAGTCCGAGGTGATGAGATAAGAGACACTAGGGCTAACTCACAGCCTGGCCTTAGAAGGACATCCAGAGTGGGTGTAGTTGGTCTTTTTTGCCCTGTGGGAAGTTTTCCCAAGAATATCCATGTTCGTAGTTCTTGGCAACAAACGCCACTGTCCCAGCAGATGCTCCCACTGGCAGTAGTCCTTCTCTTCCTGCCTCCAGCCTCTTCCCCAGGCTGTCCGGGAGTTAAGACTGGCTGAGGCTGTTTCAAGAAGTCCATTCCTGTGCTGACCTGTGTTCTCTGACCGGGGTCTGCCATGGGTCTCACTCGTGCTCTGGCATGTCCCTGCTGGCTTGCTCACTGTGACCTCATTTGATGAACAAGCAAACCAAAAATACACACACACACACACACACACACACACACACACACCACCCACAGAACATGCAGGTTCTCTCATCTCAGGCAAAAGAGAGCCCACAAGGTCAACTGAGTGGCAAACCTGCAATACAGAGGTTAGGGTTGGAAGACTTACAAGTGTTCTGAGCCTCCTGTGGTTCCCTAAACATATCTGTGTAGACCCTGTTCACATTTCTTTGGAAGGAGAAAAAGATTTCAGGAGATTTAGGGCAGTCCTTGCTCTACTTATTGGATGCATAGAGATGGTGGACCCTGTTTGTTCACTTTGTACCTTTATGAATGACCTTTTCTGCCTCAGGCCTGTGAAGTGCCTATCGTCAGCCAGCCAGGAGCAGCATTCTCTGCACTGGCTTAAATCTGAGCTGAACATGTCAGGTCCTTTCCTTTCTCCAGTTGATAAGGAAAGTGAAATCTGAGCTCCCTGTTTTCTCTCTAGGGACCGGTTCAGGACCATGGTCAATGTCCTCGGTGATGCTTTTGGGACTGGCATTGTGGAAAAGCTGTCTAAGAAGGAGCTGGAGCAGATGGATGTTTCATCTGAAGTTAACATTGTGAACCCCTTTGCCTTGGAATCTACAATACTTGATAATGAAGACTCAGATACCAAGAAGTCCTACGTCAATGGAGGCTTTGCGGTAGACAAGTCCGACACCATCTCCTTCACCCAGACCTCACAGTTCTAGATTCCCTGGCTTCAGATGACTGGAGTGATGAAGGACATCTCCGTGAGAGTCATCTTTTAGTGAAACCAAACATTTAAGAAAAAAAACAAAAAATGGTCAGTTGTACAATTAGTTTGATACACAGACCTCCAGATTATTTTCTATATTTGGCTTGATAAGCCTTTGCTGTCTGAGTTTTGGGATTTGGGATGGGGTAAGATTGGAAAAAAAAATGTTTTAAAAGGAAATTGTATCATCTGGCTTTTAAAAATTCTGTCGAAGTTTGAAAATACATAAAATGTTGGAACTAGGTAATAGAGGAGGAGAAAATGTTTTCTCATGTATAGACCAGTGTCTTGGGTTTTAGAAAAGAAATTCTCTCATTGGCTACAAATTTTTACTCTGGCTTTATATTGGTGTGGATTTCCTTTGACTTCTCACTTTTTATAGATAATAATGTATCTAAACAACCCCACCTAGCTAATGTGCCAAACTTTCCATCTTGGACTCACCTCTAGCCACTTTTAAAGAAACTGTTAAAAAAAAAAAAAAAAAAACCAGACCAGCACAGTTCTGAAATAACAGTTTTAAGATAAACATAGGGTTCAGGGGTAAGGGAGAAGGGTTCTTTTTTAAACGTACTGTATTAGGCCACTGGTAACTGTTAACCCAGTGTTTGGTATAGAACTATATATGTGTGTGTATGTGTGTGTGTGTGTGTGTGTGTGTGTGTATTTATTATTTTCATATAATTTGCAAGACAGAGATCAGAACTGAACTGTCAATGTGAAAAACGACCTCTCCTCATACTTGAATAACTACAATTCCAACCCAAGTCCGCTTCGGGGCTTATCAGTTCTCCTTTCTCAGAAGCACTAGAATGAGAAATCATGCTGTCAGATTGTCTGTGTATCTTCCCTACAGCAGAGGTGTGTTGTGGTGATACTCCAGGATGGCATAGCCACTCTATTACAACATCCAGATTTAAGCTGCCTGGAAGGAATCGATATCCACTCTACATAAGATTACACACAAAGGTGTTACTTCAAAAAGCTTGGCTGTGCTTGTGTCCAACTGGAAGGCTTTCTTCTTCCAAGTTCACTCATGCCCAGTTAAAGAGGCCAATATTTTGCTGCCTTTGCACTTTTGTACCTATCGGGGCCCAAATAACACTGATGAGCTACCAGCTAAATTGTATTTTAAAGTAGCTTCTATTGGTTGAGTAAGCCAGCAGGTACACAAGCTGTTCCTACCCTATATTTTTGTAGAATTAATCCCATGACATTGGTATCAGTGGTTCAAGGGAAATTCTTCCATCCTATGACACTGGTCCTGCCTCCTCCAGAAAGGATTGTTCTAGCTCATAATCTTGGCCCTGCTCATTAAAATTCTCTGCTAGTCATTCTCTTCTGATTTAGTGAGTATAGCTTATTAAAGTTTGTGCTTTAGTTCTCATCTTGTAAATAACGCTTAACATAAACTTGTACTTACGCCTAGATCCAAAATGGTCATTTCTGTAGTAATGTGTACCCAGCTTAAACCTGTACTTTTATATTTAAAAGAAACCAGAAATTGTGCCAAAGATAGCAGAAAAGCAAATAAATGCTCAGCACTGACCACCTGGACCTGAAATCTCTGAGGAAAGATACGGAAATGACATGTAAGTCGCATAGTGACCATTGATTCAATGTGAATTTAAAATGCAATTAGTGTTGTTTATAGGAGATATAATTATAAATATGATTGAAATTGAATCAATAATTTATTTTGGGCTAAATAGTTCTATACCTTTATTATGTGGCTCTAATCCATGGCATTAGCATTGGCAGATCTCTTCATGAACTGCAAGTCATCCTTATTTTGGAGTTTGTAACAAGCCTTTTAACATACTGTGCTATTAAGTCATAAAAGAGAACAATGTTCCTTTCAGTGTCAATAAACATGCCCTTCATTCTTTCTTTTCTGCCTTTTTCTGCATCTTATCTGTTCTTTTATCTTATTTACACGGGCAAGTATAGGAAAGCTGAGACATGGATCAGTTGAATCACACTATACACAGATTATTTTTGAAATGTTCTTGTCACCCCAAGAATGAAAAAGCAGGGCTAGAGGAAAATAATTCTTCATAATAACCAGTGAGCACTTCAAGCCTGGAATACAGTGCCATTATGAACAGTTGGGGTCATATTGTGACTGACATGAAAGCAGAATTTCGTTAGAAATTACTATTATAGAATATAGGCTTATCTGCATAGAATGGTAGCTTGGTTTAATCGAAGGACCAATTCCTCTCTATGAAACATGACTACAAACTATGCATGGCTAGATTCAGAGTGCTCTTTAAAGAAATGGCTCTGTTCCTGCTTGGCATAGCTGAGCCATGACTACTTTCTACAGGACCCAGCAGACTCACCTGTGCGACTAACATCAAAGAAACAGCCCCTGGGAGAGAACAGTATAAAAATGCTCATTACTCCATGGTCACAGGAATACAGGACAGTTTCTTTTTTATTATAACATGGTGGGGAGTAGGAGGGGGCACCCAACAACACAACTCCCCAGAAAGAGAGAGATTAGATTGGGAAAGTTGGTATACCTGACCAGAGGACCTCTGTGTGATTTATTCTGTGCAGATTACACAGGGAACATTGTCATTAGCTCTGGAAAGTGGCTTTACTTTTTCAACAAATTTTTGTGAGCCTACTGGGTAGACTCTTCTTTTAAACATACTTCATTCTAGAGTAGCTATGGGAAATGTGTTTGGCTTTTCATCAGGCAGTGGGCCAGTAGGAGTATTGGCTTTGCAGGTGTTTGAGAAACTTACCTCCTGCAGCAGCAGAGAATCAATGGTCCTGTGGAGCCTCGGCAGGATGCTAGAAGATTTTGTGCAACAGTATTGATAGTTTGTATTTCCTAACTGCCCACGAAGGGACCATGGGATGTGATGATTGAGCGTACAGCTCTGATTTCATTTTTGTGACCTTGCCAATAATCTAAGCCTTGATTTCCTCTTCCATGAAGCAGGGATAACAGTCCTTGCCTAGTGATATTGCTTGAAATGAAAAAATGTCTGTGATGCCTCTAGCAAAAGCCCTGTCACATAATGCGCTCAATAAATGCTAGAACTTCCCCTCTACCGCAGCCCCTGGGTAGGGAGGGAGGAGCTATAGCCTTTGCCTCCTCCCCCATTTACATGGATAATCCACAGATGTGTGCTATAATTAGATAAGTGTCCCCCAAAGGCCCCTGTGTTAAAAGCTTGGATAAGAGCCTGTGGTGCTACTGGTAACAGGTGGAACCTTTAGTGGGAGCAAGTTAGGTCATTGGGAGGTTTGCCCTTCAAGAGATACTGGTACCCTTCTCTCTCTCTCTCTCTCTCTCTCTCTCTCTCTCTCTCTCTCTCTCTCTCTGTGTGTGTGTGTGTGTGTGTGTGTGTGTGTCAACTTCTCTCCCCTCTCTCTCTCCTTCCCAATCACCATAAGTTGAGCAGCCTTCTGTATCACATGTTCCCACATGGCGTCCTGCTTTGTCTGTCACAGATCCTAAAGCAGTGGTACCAGTGGGCCAGGGCCTAAAGCCTCTAAACCTATGAGCCAAAATAACCCTTTCCTCCATATAATTTCTTTAATTCAAGTATTTTTCACAGTGACAGAAATTGACGGACACAAGATGCAACTGTAATTGCTCTTTCAGTATTTCAGGACCTATGTCACTGGTACAGACAGGAAATGTCACCCCCACCACTTTCAGTTTTGTTTTTTTTCTAGTACCGGGAATCGAACACAGGACCTTGGGCTTGCCAGGCAGACGCTATGTCACTAAGCTATATCCCCAGCCCAAATGAGTGATTTTCTTTTCTTTTTATGGTTTCTTTTCTTTCCTTTTTTTTTTTTTGCGGGAGGTGGGGGGAATTGAACTCAGGGTCTCGCACTTGCCAGGCAGGTGCTGTGCCACTGAGCTACATCCCAGCCCATCACCGCCGCCACTAGATGCTAACCAGATTATTACAGTAAACAGTATATCCAACCTAAATGAGACTTTATAAACCACCCCATTCTATAAATTGGAAACTCTGGAAATGAAACATTTAAATCTTAAAATATTTGCTCCTAAAAAGTACTACATGGGAACTAATTAAAGATAAATGTCTGCAAACTTCCTATTATCTGAGACACAAAAGGGGTTTGAACTGCTCAAGCTGCCTGTGTGAGGGTGAGGTGTGCATTCATGTAGCACTCCTTCATTATGTACTGAAAATGAGTACACACTAGGTTCACTGCTGCAATCTTAGCCTGTCAATCTCGTGTGACTCCACAAAAACTATCCTCCCCACCTGACAGAACCAGACGTCATTCTGCTCCTCACCTGGGGCCTTTTAATGTACCCCGTGGTTAGAAATGTGCCTTCTTCCTCTGAAATCGCAAGACTTCTTAAGTGAAATCCATATAATATAAACAAGAAGTAGACTGTTAAGTTAGCCTGGGGACAATATAACAATGAACACATACGGAACAGGATAACTGCACCTAAGTGTCTGAACTTATTGATTATGGGTAGAAATTACCAGGGACATTCCTAGTAGCCTAGGCTATGTGGTCCTAGAAAACTCCTAATAAGCAGGTAGTGAGATCTAATCACACAATTGATATCTCATTCTTCCCTTATCAGGACAAACCAGCTCCATGTACAATTTGGAGAGTGTATCTCCAGAATTACTGGGATACTTCCAACTGCAAATCTCTACCTGGTCTGCCTCCTTTATGGTATTACAAAATTCAGAACAGTTCTGAATAAACCCCAAGGACAAGATAAGCATCCATATTCCTTTTGTTATTCTAGTGAGGAAAGATGGAAAAGGAAAGTGTGGCTCTTCTAGAAAGCCCCCAGCCCAGAGCAGAAAGGTTCCTGACCCACAGGAGCAGCACCAGGGCGTTACATAGAGATTTGCACAAGCACCACACATGTAGGAAGGCAAAGAACCCTGAAACTAAAATATAGAATCAGCTTAGCTCCTAAGCAGTGTTGTTTGAATGTCAACCCTCATCTTCTCTCCAGGAAGTGGAGATTGGAGGCTCGCTCTGGTAGCTGCCATTCCTGTATGACTCAGTAAAGCTATTCGCTTTCTGGCGTAGCATTTCCTGCTTTCACTTTGGGGTATCTGAGGGACTGCAAAGAAAGGCTGCATCATTTCAGTGGTTCAGTCAAGGGACCAACTGCCGGGGCATGGGAGCCCCAGAGATCTGATGTTAGCCAGGAGTCGCTTTATCAGACTGTGGAAAGGTGAAGATGGCTTGAAATTAATTAAGTCATCCAAGGGAGTAATCACTGAAGCAAAGGCATCACTTTGTCCATTTTATGGACACATCCTCAAAGTGGTAAAAGCATGCACATTTTAAAAAATGATGTATCCTCCACTAGACATTCTGGCATAGCTTTGATTTAAAGAGCCCTGTATTGTATTTCCAAGGTCATCACTTAGCAAGAACAAAAGACCAGCAGAAAAAAAATTGTAAGAGGTGACTGGAGTGAAGGAGAAGGGTTCTAAAAATAAGAGAATTCACTTTTTGTGAAACAGTGAAAACACTCTAGTTACAAACAAACGCAATCCAGTTAGCAACAGAAGGGCACTGGCTGATTCTTCCCAAACACATGATTTTGTCTTCCCAGCATTGGTTTCCCCAATTGGCTTTACCTCCGAGGACTTCCCAGCAAATCCTCCATTTCCTAATTTATCCACAAACAAGATAGACAAGTATGTGTCAGTTTCACATTAATCACACACATAGCCAAGACTGTCTGCAAGAACTATTTAGTCTGCTCTTCTGGCTCTCAGGACAGTTTGCACCTAGACCATCCCAGACAGACAACTGCCTACTCTGTTCTTGTGCCATGCTTCAAGACATTGACCTAATTCCTAATAGCTGCAGGCATTAGATGTGGAGATGTCTCCTTGCCAGGATGAGTGTAGGAGAGGGTTGGGTGTCCTGATTTTAGAAAGAAGAGAAACAGAGGAAAATCACTTTTATGCGTTTGGCAAATGTTGGCATTTCAGTTACTAGGCGGCAAGCACTGTTCCAACCACTTCCATATTAATTCATTTAATATAATAGCAGCATGAAATGAGTACTACTATTTTCCCCTTTATACAGATGAGAAAACTGTCACAAAAAGTGAAGCAACTTGTCTAAGATCGCGCAATGATCAGGTGGCAGGCAATATGGCTAAGGGTCAGTGTTCCCCAACAGGCACTGTAAGTAAGGCAGAGGAAGCCCGGAGTGCTGGAATATTAACTGTAGCTCAAGTCTGAGGTGCCCCAGCATTTTCAGAACAGGAATCACTACAGAGATCTACTTTACAGTGTAGTGACTACAGTTAACAATATTGTGTTGTACTGTTAAAATCTTGCTAAGAGTGTAGCTCTTAGGGGATAAGTGTGTTGTCTCACACATATGGAAGAAAGAAGGAAGGAAACGATGCTAATAGGCATTGAGTGTGAAGATGGTTTCACAGGTGTGTACAGTACTTACCACCAAACTCCTTAAGTTGCCTGTGTTAAATATGTATAGCTTTTTGCATGTCATACCTCAATAAAGAGATTTAACAAAATAAACACAGAATCACTGTTAACACCAAGTGTCAACTATACGGCAGCATTGAACTAAATTTGTTACATGCATAATCTTACTTATGCTTCTTGACACTCTTATCAGGCAAATAATATTACCCTGTGTTTTCAAGATGAGGCAACTGCAGCTTAGCAAGGTTAAATAGTGTGCCCGAGTTCACACACTTAGGGGCTGGGGATATAGCTCAGTGGCACAAGCACCTGCCTGGCAAGCACAAGGTCCTGAGTTCGATTCCTGGGACAAAAAAATAAATAGATAAAAATAACAATAAATGCACAAGTTCACACAGCTGGGACTCAAAAACTATTCCAAAGTATTTTCCTAACTTTCAA